TCGACTGGGACATTGAGCATCCTGGAGTTTGCGCGGCGTTCCCCGGTCTTCAGTTTCCACGCAAATGCTGCGATATCGCCTAAACGCAGATCACGACCGCGTACTTCCTCACTTATAAAAACCATCGACACGTTTCACATTGGCAGTGGTTGCGACAGAACAAAATACCAGCTACCAAAAACATTAAAAATAATATCATAAACACTTGCCATTCAGAAATGTATCGCCATGCAAAAAGTCAAGCCGAGCGGTTAATGGCGGTAATGATCGGCCACATTAAGGGTGCGCAAAATGACAGAAAAGCCACATACTGTTGAGCACAAACAGTTATTAAAGTATCACGATCTGGAGGAATCCCGTGGTATGAAGTCTACACGGATTTCCACAAAAATCAGTGAATCAGCATCTGGAATATTTCGGCCGTAGGGCGGACAGATTCAGGCAGCTCGCGAATAATGAATACGAAAACCGTGCTGTAAGGATTTACAGCATCTTAGCAAAATTCGGAAGAAAAAAAATTCCCTTATAAACTGCTTATAAAGACCTGAAATGACATGCCATCAATACAAAACCCTGAAACATGAGGATGAAGGGAACAGGTAATTTGGGAGAACTAGACGTAGATGGGAGGGTAATATTAGGATGGATTCTAATAAAATATGTCTGGACTGGATTCAATTCACTCAGGACAGAATCCAATGGCGAGTTCTTCTGAACACAATAAGAAACAATCTGGTTCATAAAACGAGAACTTATTGAACAGCTAAACAACTGTAATCTTCTCCACAATGAACTTCCAAAGTGGAGTTAAGTACTACAACTACGAACAGGCCTACTATTGGCCGAATGCGTTGATTTAGACTAAAATCGACCAACGGAATAAAAAAAACTGGAAGTAAAAAAAATTCCAAATCGAGATAACAGATAATAAAATCTAAGTGCTTGCAGTTTTCAAATGTCAAAGCCTCGTCAGCCAAATAACACTCGATGAAACTGTACAATTGGCCACAATTATAGAATCACAGTGTGATGTAATGCTGTTTATTTCTGCACGTTACATCTTAAGTTCGATTAAACAGCCTGAAATTCACTCACCTAGTCACACCGAAACGAGTAGTAAGGACTAGAAATCCCACGCCACCTGCAGGTCTTTCAAAGCAGATTGAAGTAAATGAATGGCCCACCTCCTTACCTGCAACACAAACAGGAAGCGTACTTAAGACACCGAGACGACGTTTACAGGTTACAATAATACAACCAAACTTAATGAAGTTGCAAGTATCCTGCAAATGATTCGGCAAGTCACCAGTTGGTTGATTAAATGTTACAAGTAAGGTCCCAACGAAATAATAGGATCGGTGGAGCGTAAAAATTACAAGCGTACTTGTCCATAAAACTGTATTTTCACTCTTGACACACATGAAGCAATACGCACATACTTAACCCAGTTAACTGGCCTGTTATTTCTTTTCATACACTCAAAATAAAAGCCAAAAATGCCTCAAGTATTACAAATCGCCCCTGCAGGTAAACTGCATCTACCGAACTATTCGAAAATTAACCTGATATTCATCTTTGCACATTTCACAGTCGTCAAAGTAGCTAACACAACCGAATGCCCCAGTCATGTCATGACAATGACTTACAACCGTCCGGAAAATATAAAACTACACAAAAATGAAGGTTAATGTGAAGAACGAATCGAAGGGAACGCCCATTACAGAGCCGAGGTATTGTACAGAATTCCGTCGAAAGGTTTGGTTTGGATCGGATGTGATTAGACTAGGTGAGTAGGACTACAGGAGAAGACAACCACGGCTTTTCCAAGGCACAGCCTCGGCGTCTGCCTTACAGGAAAGGAAAGGAAAAAGTAAGGCAGGACAGCTGGTGCTCTGGCAGAGACTGGCACTCGGGACCTTTCCGAATAAGAATCAGATGCGACAAGAGGGAACAATCTGGGAGCACTGACTTCAGAAAACCGCCATATTTACGTGGGAAAGACGTGTAACAAAGTTCAAGAACTTCGTGATGTGACAGTCATCGAATTAAGAACAGAAATATATGAAAGCTCCCCAATTATGACATGCGTATGAACTGCCTTCATGGTAATGGAAACTTCGGACAAACGAGTATACATAGATTGCGGATAACCTATTAAAATATCACATAAACCAAGTCCAGAGCGTATTAATAATAGCATAGATTGCGGATAACATATTAAAATATCACAGAAACCAAGTCCAGAGCGTATTAATAATAACAAACACTCGAAAAGAAGAATTTTCCACAACGTTCATGTAAATATGGGACGAAACAAATAATGTGGAACAAACCATTTACAACAGTAAGCCTACAGTAAATGATATTTTTTAAACCGTAACTAGAAAGATGCATCAGAATCTTCAAGGAAATCTGAGATAACTTTTGTTTCGTTTGAATGAGTGTACCGAAATTCTACTACAGAACCGTACACGTCATGACGTGCTGAAATAATTGAACAGGACACTGATAGCACAATAAGATCTGACGTCACAAAGCTTGCTACTTTCTGTCTCACCTATTCCCCGTTCATGACAACGCCTTTCGACGTTTACTTTCAAAAGAAAACGAGAGGAAAAATGAGGAGGGAGAGGAAATGAATGGTAAGAAGTGTGATGACGCAGACGTCCGGCGCCGAGTTCAAAAACGTCGCCTTGCGACTCCGATTAATTGGGCAGCAACGGTTGTTAGAATCAACTGCGAATTGTTCTTTTCACTTTATCACGCCCTCTACCCGCTTAACATTGCATTTTACTTATGTGTCGTAAATTACCTCCCATGCTGTGTACGACATGCATCAGAAAGTTCTCTTAAACGCGTGGCTTTCAAATTTCTGACAATTCCATTCGCTGCGTGAAAGGAACGAAATAGACGTTATTGAACCACGTGGAACAGCACCGTTCTTATTGAATGTTACATCACGCGAAGTGTCAGAGCAAGTATTTATCAAGGACTAAATGTTTCATACTTTTAAATGTCCTGGCATGCAAGGACACAACAAATTCTGCAAGGATTATAAATAATGGGAAATATATATAAATAAACTATGGTACCAACAGAACCAATTATTATTCTCTGCACTAAGAATGTCCCAATTTAGAAAACTTTAAAACAACAAGACATATAATTCGAAAAGCACAGACAAAGAACTCCATTGATGTAAGCTACAGACAGCTTAACGCCATTCAGAGTACAATAAGGTCTACCAGCACAAAAAAGTAATATTTCGTTAGCAGTAATTGCCAATGCGAGTTATACTTCGTTTATGTGTTCGATTAAACGTAAGGTGATCGGCTGTAGATTGGTCAGGCAGTAAACGTATGCTTAAAAACGAGTGACTTGAAAATTAATTAAGCCTGTAACAAGGGCCGTAGGCAAGGTTGTAGAGAGGCCTGGCCGTGGAGTTTGTATTCAAAGAACAATGTCCCTAAAATGTAGCTGGGTTCCATAGAAACTTATCTTTAATTTTAAATTTAACACGCTGTAAGAAGGCCTTGCAGTGCATGTATCGTTAAATGAAAAGGGTCTCTAATACAAATACAGGGTGTCTTTTGTCATCTCAGAAAAGGTAAAAGGAAGACTGCAATTCTACTTCAGAGACCAGCGTTCCGTCCAAAGCTGAAAAGGTAAAAGCAAGACTGCAATTCTAATTCAGAGACCAGCGTTCCGTCCAAAGCTGCAGCATCGGAGACCTCGTTGCCGGGCAAGACAGAGTATCCAGGTACCCAACAAAACACATCGGACTTCTCTCACTTCTGCAGGTGGGACACTTGAATCGGGATCTCAGCGACGATGGTTAAGCGCTTAGGGAGTCTGTAGAGACAAGATGACACCGAGGTTGGCTGCGGACGAACAGAAGAGCTCGGCATATATCACAGAGTTCGGCGGGGAGGACGCTGTTAAAACTGTGGAGGCAATAGGAAATTACCTGGTCGTCATATATCATCCATCCTTGTACAAAACATCCACTGGCACTACACCGCTGTGCGGTCCGGATATGCGGATTGTCATGTTTTGACCGAACAGCACAGTATTACAGAAGCTGATAGTCATTGTGTAGCAGCTGAATTTTAAGGTGAGAAGAGAACCACATTTTATTTTTAAATAAACTATAAAGTTCCTGCGGATAATCACTGCACTACCATCACTAAAGTAAGTACATGACTCACAGGGGAAACTGCATTAAAAAGCACACACTTTTAAAGTTAAAAAAGCAATCAAGCACTGGCATACCTAAACAAGTTGCTCACTTGCTGCAAACATTGTCGTCTTCCATACAACAGCGCCAAATTTAATGCCATGAAGTGACCATTTTCTTAAAAGTCTGAAGGTTGCGTTTGAGGAAATTTGTTCAGCCCCCACCCCCCACCCCAACAAGGTTAACACAAGCAATAACCCCTAGTTCATCCGACTGTTAATATAACAAGCATAAATTGAGGAATAAGGCAACAGACTGCTGTAAGGAGATAAACTAGCAGCCAGGCACTGTTGAATTTCCGCGAAAGTCCCAGAATATGTGGCACAACAGAACTTCATTATATCAAGAAAAACCTCGTTTTAAACAAATAAATAAATCCGTGGCGTAACAGCCCTCTGAGAGCCAAAGCCGACTAACTGGCTGCTGGCCTCACGTTCACATGCCTAAGCAGAGGTGAATGATCATCCAATCAGATATAGGCGACGTGTGGTCACGATGCTGGGTTGGCACCGGTCCCATACACTGGTCGAAAGCTCATGAGAAAATTTCTTCTCCCCCGAGACTCGAACCAGCGCGCATTCCGTATCGCCGGTCCGAATCATGATGCCTCAGACCGCGCGGCTACGGCGTTTTAGTTTATTCAAATAACAGATGAAGTTTAAAACGCGCAGATTAGTTTGCGAATTCCCGAATATTCGTAATGCTGGAAAGGCGTAAAAAGACGATGTGGCAATTATCTCCGCACAGTCACAATGATAGAGCAGAGAAAGTTCGGTCGAATACCAGGATTACAAGTAAGAAGCGAAACACACAAAACCGATTATCTGAAATGCTAGGTAATCATTTAAGTATAACGACCGAAAACTTGTACTTCTTATACTGGCGTTGTTTGATACAACAGAAAAGTATTAATAAAAGCTAATATTATAGTCACATAGAATACGCGGGCCACTGGTATAGAAGGAGTAGAAATAATTAAATCGCTTTCTTCTTCCACACGTGTTAAACCTTAAGCCTATTTAATGATTGCAGCCAAGAGCACATTAGATTCATATTGTACACGCGTCTTTAATAAATATCAAAAACTGTAAACTATAACAAGGAATTTGAACCTATTCCTTAGCTCATTAAAGTTAGTAAACTGAAAGAAACTAACAATGAACTGTTCTTACATTCATTAAATTTAGATTATAGAAGCAAAATGATGTGGCATCACACATTTTTCTAGTATTACCGAAATGAAGACGCATGAGAATATGCCTTGCAGAAAAAAAAACAGTTCTACGCATTAAATAAACCCATACAGTATTCTAGCGGCAGAACAGACATAGACACAGCTGTTTATAACCCACAATCGCGTTTAATAAGTTACTTTCTGTAGCGTTTTAAATATTTTATGGTCGATACAACAAAAGTGAAACTTCTGCCTGCAGGCCGAAGCCAAGAACATATCAAATTTCCTTCCTGTATAATTATGAAAAAAACTTGTTATTTGTAAAACAGAAATCAAACTCGAAACTCGTTAGTGTAAACATTAAAAAAATAGCATCGAAAATTAAAGTTAGTGAAACCTGTCAACATTCTGGGAGTTGTATTAATACCGCTAGTACAGGTTTAGCAACTGTTTGAGGGAGAAACCTGCCCTTTTACTGGGAACCTACTTTCCCCGTCGTGTATTTATTGCTACAGATAAAATTATTATTTTATGTTACACAAGTATGAATGGATTTATTGTCACTGCTCGTAATTACATTAAGCATGTTAGGATGTACGCGCGCAGCATAACAATTCTGGTTTCGTTCGCCACATTTTGACCCTTGTTGCGAATGGGACTAGTCCTCTAAAAGTACTGGAGAGCGCTAAGAAATGTCATTTGAGGGTCTTAGGTTCGAGGAAGGGAAAATCCCCATCTGCACCTCCCCCCTGGTAGAGGACGGGCAACGACAATAGACTGCTGACGTTGAAGGGAACCGAGCAGCTGCCGGGATAAGCAGCCAAGTCGGCTGGACGGGGCAGGGCACTCTTGTCCTGGGGCAAGAAATCGTCCCCGAAGGCGGATGAACTACCTAGGGTAGTCAACGGCATAGAATCAGGCAGGCAAGGGAAAACCAACTGATTATATTCCCAAGAGAGCGCTTCATGGAAGGACGATTCCAACCCATGAAGCGCCACCACGCCCTTTTAAGGGTCAAGGGCAGAGGAGGCGAATGGGACTAGCGGCGTTAGAGTTGTCACCTATCAGTGACTTACGACCCCGTCACATGGCACTGCCTGCCTGGAGCTGTTTCACGCGATATGCCATGGTCCTGAGTAGGATATTACTGCAGATCCAGCCATAAAAATATGTACCTTAAGTAAGCAGCAAAGCAGCGTCTTTGCAAAGAATGGCATGTCGGATATTGTCCAGTGCCTGAGGTGTACCTACACAACGTTCGGAGGCTGGCTCAACTCCCATCTCCAGGTGCCTGATTTTTTTCATCTCTAAACTACCATCCCCCCACTCCCACCCCACAAACGAAAGGCTGCACAGGTTGTCGTCACTTCATCACTCATGCTTGCAACGTGTTGCTGCTGGTTTGACCGACCACGAAGATTACTGGACACATCAGTGATTTTGAAATGAGGCCAAAAGGATGGGTATCATCGGCCAGGGTACAGCCATGGGCATGATCAGCCGAACAGTACAAAAACAACGGCCTGGAACTCATACATCAACGGGAAATTCACAATACGCATACTCCCAAACTTCATAATTATCTCAGCTTCAACAACAAAATTCTAGGATTTCCACTGCGCTTTACTGTATTTAACAACGATCTTTCAACTGCACGCTTAGGTTATACAGCACCGAATAACAGTGCAGTAATCCCCCGACAAGCGCTGATTTACAGCTGTATCCAGTATTTTTATGCATTCACTATTTTACTTCGAGTACACACAGAAATAGTCGGCGATTACCGCGTCAAGAGAACCACAATTGCTTTGGCCAGGGTTGTAACGGTGTTCAAAACTAGTTTTCCGGTTTCCTGGCTTTCATTACGGTGCATCTTCGTACACCCCTTTAGCCTGGCACCGGCATATTATTCATCCTGTCTTCA